CCTCCCGACACACCAGACTACGGACGCAGAGGACAACCGAGATCAGATCGTACTGGGGCCCGAGCGGTTCGTCTCTCTGTCGGCCACCCTCACGGATACGAGCACCCTGGAGCAGGAGATTCGAGACGCACAGGTGCTCGACCCTGAAGTCGTCGAGGCTCTCCGCATCCTCAAGGAGAAGGGCCCTCGGAAACTGGCGAACGGACTCCTCGAATGGGAAGTGCACGATGACCTCATCTATCACCACGGGAAGCTCTACATCCCCCCCGTAATCGGGAGGCCTTCCCCCGTGCGCGGCGCGTGCCCAAGCATACCCAGGGAGCCCTTCGTCTCCATGTGTTCTGCGAGGTGACGGACGGTGTCGGACTCGGCGCGGAGGACCTCGGTGGTCTGGATGTTCCGGAGGAGCGGGACGAGCTCGTTGTCGAGCTGCGCGTCGGTGAGGCCCACACGCGGGTGGACAGCGATCTTCTCATACGGGTTTCCCTGCGCGCTGTGGGCGGTACCTGTGTTGTGCGCGGCGAGGAGGGACATGGAGAGGTTGTGGGACTGGGAGAGGAGGATGTTGTACTTGGAGAGGATGTCGGGCCAGGCGGGCATGGCGTTCTGGCCGCCCATGTCAATTGTGCGCTGGAGGAGCTGTATAGACTCGATTATCTGGCTGGCCTTGAAGCGGAGAGATTCGAGTTGGCCGACGGGGAGCCTTTGGAGGTCGAAGGGTAGGCCAGAGCTGGCTGCCTCGCCGGGCGCGGGTGCGGCGGTGGCGGGTATGCCTGGGATGTTAAGGCCGGGGATGTTCATGGTGGTTATACGAATATTAAGGGAGATACGGAGATCCAGGAAGACGCTGCGGGACTGGCGGATGAGGGAGCTCGAGGATGTGGTCGACGAGCAAGCCACACCGGAGCCCGGTCCGGGGGTGTGTGTTTCCCGTCATGTTTCCCACGGCTCGAGTTACGCGCAACCGAACCTTATTTGGGTCCGTCGCCGACGCGACTTAGCGTTGTTCACACCTTCTCCCCCTCACCATCGCCGCTGCCCTCAATGCTCTCGCGCCTCGTTCTGCAACGTGTATCTCCGCATGTGTTTGCGTGCAATGTCCCCACAGGAGGGTTGCGTATGGCGCTTGCTACGCGCCAGCAGGCGGTCGTGCGGACGTTCTTGACGACAGCTCATGTCTCCGAACCCGTCGCCAGTGACTCGGAGAGCCCCAAGGCCAAGAAATCCACCACGAAGAGGTCCAGTGCCACCAAGACAGGAACGAAGAAGGCGGCGACGAAGAAACCCAAGGCGAAGGCTAAGCCCAAGAAAGTAGAGTCAGACGACCCCGAGGATCGCCTCAAGGGCCCTCTCAAATGTATGTCGTCCGCCACGACGACACGCGACGCACGCTGGCTGACATCTCAGGATTTATTCGTGCCCTTCTCTGACAGCCATCAAGCTCAAGAAGGAGGACCTCCCACCCCCAAAGCCGGCCACGTCCTTCTTCCTCTTCATACGCGAGCAATACGAACGCAAGGAGAACGTCCGCACCGGGGTCGGCGCTGCATCAAACTCGTCGGAAATTGCAGCGCGCTGGAAGGAGCTTTCTGACACCGAGAAGCAGGTACGTACCCGCTCTCTCCGTGTTGTGAGTGTGCTAGGGGCTGTAGTTACCTGCTGACGATTCGCACTCCTTACAGCCTTACCGTGAAAAGGCCGCGGCTCTGAAAGCGGAGTACGAGGCAGCCCGTGCGCGGTGGTTCGAAAATGCGGACCCGCGTCTCATCAGGGCAATCAACGCGCAGCGGAAGGCCAAGAACAGGCTCAAGATTCACTCGCCCCTCGGCTCCGACCCCCGCAGGCCCCTCCCGGCTTTCATACAGTGCGTATCGTCTATTCACGCATGTCTCTGTACCCGGTCGTTCGTCAGTTGGAGGCCGACTGTTAAGAGCTGAGGGCTAAGAATTGCGAGCTGACCGCGCTGCGTGGTCGTGTTATCGCGTCCAGGTACATGAGGGAGATCCACGACACGCTCGACGTATCCATCGACCGACATGCCAACACCCAGGGGTATCTCGCGGCGCTTGGCAAGGCTGCGTCCGAGAAGTGGAAAGCGCTCCCTGAGGAGGAGAGACAGGTGCGTCCTTTTGCCGATCGACGTGCTGGGGCTGACCTTTCGGCGCTCCCCATCCGAACAGCGGTACCGCGACGAATATGTCACCAAGCAGAAAGAGTACGAGGAGCTGCGTGCACAGGAGAAGTCGGCTTAACTCTATAATACCGGTCCTGGCTGTCTTCTTTTGGTTCTCTCCCTCCGTTTGCAGCCGGTCAACCGGGCTCTTTTGCTGTTCTGTGATTCAGAGACACGTATCAAATACTAATGACGCTTCGCGCTGTCTCCCCTGCGCTCATTCTTGCACCTCACTCCTAGCCATACGTTTCGTGGATGTCTATGCTTAATTCGCAGTGGCATCTCTGTACATCATTGCACCTATCGCCATTCATTCAATATTTTGATTCACGATATGCGATGCTTGAGCGTACTCTCGGCACATCCTTCGCAGGGCTCAAACGTTCCCCGATGTTATCATTCCATGGTATGTTGATTGTCTTTCTTGTACGTTGAACTTAGATCATAGTCAGATTGCTTCTGCCTCAGACTAACTGCATCGTGTTGTAGCTCAAACCGCGTGTCGCACCAGAACGTAAACGCTATCGATAGAACCCCTCAACGTGTATGGCCGAAGTCAGCATGTGCGGCTACTTGTGCACTTACCGCAGCACCCGCCACGGGGTAGCATACTAGGCTTCGATTGTGTCACACGCTGCCTTCTCCTCGACTCAAAGCCACGGTAAAGACAGTGTGATGCAGCTGCGTCGCAGACCGTACTCCAAGTCAATCCCTCATGGCGTTGTCTCTCTTCTGGCCCGGGAAGTATTTCTTCTACCCCATTGGCAATACCTCTGCTGTTTGTCTCACTCGCGACATTCCTCCCGAGACGTCTGCGAATATCCTCCTTCTCGCATGTGGTGACCCAAGAAACGTGTTGTATACCATTTTCTGCGAGACACCTGATTGTATGTTCAATTGTTGCATCCATACTCGCTCTCTAGCTGATTCGCTGCTGCAGTAAGCAGGGCTCTGGATTTCACTTGTTGTGACTTTGATCCTGGGGTCTTAGGTGCGTCATTTGTTGAATAACATGAGAGTAAGCACCTCAACAGGAATCACAGCAAGGAATGTACTCCTCTTGAGCATGATCATCGATGGCGTTTCTAAGGAGACCACATGGAACATCTTCTTCCACATGTACCTCGACGACGACTCTCAAGCAGCGCTCGTGTCGCAGTGTCAGAAGCTCGCTATGTACAGCTCGGTCGCGGATTGGAGGTCTTCACCGTACGGCGCAGTTATCAGAATGGGGACAGACCATACCTTGGCTGCGATGTGTCGTCATTGGGAGCTCTACGCAAACTTCTACCACCCGTCGAGGTCGGAGCAGCGGAAGGACCTTCAGAAGAAAATGGAGGATACACGGAGGGAGATCCTCAGCGACACTCCTGTGGTGAACATGTCTTCGTCCCGGTCCTCTGGCCCTCTCTTATTACGATACGACCCTGTTCACGTAGCGAGCCAGCAGTTCCGACGCTACTGGGAGACCGGCACCACGTTCACTGATGCAACTCAGTTAGCGAACTCTACCCATCCCAACTCAACCTTCTTCTATTCTCGCGCACACGAGGGATTTGACGTCCATTATGGCACCGATCCGATGATCCCATTCCACCACGCTCCCCTCTTTGGCAACGCGAAGGGGACCGTCACCGTCCAGAATCTGGTCGAGTCCAGCAGGTCGCAGTTCTACGCGTGGTCTGCTGCGTTCAGGACTGCCGTCACAACGTGGAAGGAAGGCCTTCTTGCTATACGTTTCCTTCTCGGAGATGCGCTTGCCGTCGCTAGCGCTCTCCAGAACCACTCCAACTCTAGTGTTCAGACGGTACATCCGATGCCGCGAGTAGCAGCCTGGACCGCCTGCGTCTTGAAGTTGAATCCGGAAGAGTACGCTCGTGTCGCTGCCCCTGTGCGCTTCGAAGTCATCGATACATCGAACCTTTCCGATCATGTTGGGATGCTCAACATCCTCCTCTGCACCGCCCCTCTGCTGGCCCATTCCCCGTGTTCCGTGCTATATACCGAATCCCTTTTGACCCACACAACCGATTCTGCCACTGAACTCGAGTCCAAGCTCTTCGCCGATCTGTCGGTCGTTTCCGTGTTGCTGGGTATGGCCCCCTTGGATTCACTATCCGGGTTCACAAGCTTGTGCAACACGCACGAACAACTAACCTCGCTCACGTTGTCTCCGTCCGACCATCGACAATATCATCAGATCATTACATGGAGGCAGCCTAGCACCGGCGACCCTTCATTCATCCATGATTTTACCCTTCCCCCCCTACGCTTCGATGCCAATCAGCTCGCCCGACTGTTCTGCGATATCTATGTCCACTTATTCGGAACAGAGGACCCAGCGCACTTCATGAACCTGAAGCCCGAGGACATCGTACGGCTCGGCAGGAAATTCGCTTGTTTTTGTCCCTCTCGCGAGTCATTCATTGTGCTCCTGAGTCTGGTTCACAATCGCCTCCAAATATCAGCAGCCCTATGGTCCGGCGTCATGCGAATCTTCCTCAATCTGTTATCGGACGACGCTCTGAGAACACATCCCTTCGATCGACTGAACCACCGCGAGATCCACGCTCAGCTGTACCGGCATGGCATTTACTCCGTACCTGAACTCGACAAAGCTCGCAGGCCTAGAGTCGGTCGCCTTTCGCACTGGGCGAACATTCCTCCTCTCGTTCGAGTCTTCCTCACTGTTCCCCGCAACGAGTTTGCCAAGCTAGAGAGTATACCGAATACTCCCTGGCTCCACTGCGTCATCCGGTATTCACAATCCGAGCACGGCTTCCAATCCGTGGATGCAGCGTATGGGACGCTTATCGACAGGGGTTCAAAGGCTAAACCCGATCTCTTGTTCCGCGAAGACCCCGAAGGGCACCGGACCCACTGTCCTGTTGTTGTCTCCTTTGTGGTTCCTAGCTGCGTGCTCACCGAGGCAGCGCCAGAGACCATCGATATCAGGCTGTCAGTGCGCACTAATCCCGGATCGAACAAGGCCCTTCTGTTCCTCCTAGGTCCCTACATGGCCGTTTTCCATGCTTGCTTGGAGGACACCGACCACGTGCACCTCCTTCCGGAGGTACCGCTCTCCCCTCCTGACACTCTCTCCTCGGCGTTTGTCCCCCTTCATTTTCCAAAGAAACTCTCGGCCATCGGTCGGCCGAGTCATTTGGCTGTGGACATGGACGGTACAGGGAAGCGTATCGCGTCTTTGACGGCGAGATTGGACGTTGAAGATGTCCAGGCCAAGGAGCAATTTGCGAAGGGCGCGATGCCTACCGTCACACAAAGCTCTCCGTGCGCCATGCAGGTTGTCATCGGCGGTCTCGCCCAGACGCTACTCTACCCTATTCCTATCGTCGGAAGCGAGCGCAAAGTACGCCTGGCACGCAAGTCATCCTACATCGAGGTAAGTCCTGTGGATCTAATCAATGCAGCGGATTGACTGAGTATACGTCTGATCAAGGTGGCTGTCCCTGTGGCCATTCCCTACCTGCGACCGGATGGTCAAAGGTTATGTCCATTCCCGGTAGTCCGTACGAACGGGTCTCTTTCGCCATGGAACCTCCATCGCGTCCCCATCAATCGTCTTCCAGTCCTGGATCTCGCGAATGTCGATCGACTCAGGCTATGGTACGACGCCCACGTTGGCTCTCAGTTCTCCATACGAGAGCGAAAATTAGGGACACCGAACAGCTAGACCTTTTGACGAACATCAAGGACAGCATCCATCATGTGATGACAAAGGCGGCAGGCACACAGGGAACAGAAAAACCGGCAAGGGTCATCGCGCTACGGGACGACGAAACCCAAGACTGCGACACGATGCTATTCGTGAATAGGATCCGTTTCGATCTTTCATCGCATACCATAGTGTGCGATGCGTTCGTCCTGCCCACTTCGCATGCCATCATGCCTACCATTTCCCCATTCATCGGACAGCTGCTTCAGCGAGGAGTTACAAGCATCAGGGTGTATAGAGGGGAGATGCGAGGTTGGAAACAGTTGCTTCCCGCCCTCGTTGAGCGCTGCCGTACGACATGGACCCACGGGGCGAATTGCGAATACGTCGCTAAAGGGAAGATCCCGCTCCAACTCAAGACGAGCGCAGGCGATCCGCTTTGCAGCTGTGGCAGAGGGAAGGATGTAGACGGGATGTTGCATGATAACCTGTGGAAGAAGTTCGGGCCCTTCGTCACCCGAATCGCGATCTCGCCACTCTTTGCCGTCTCGTATGTGGACCCCGTCTTCACAGGCGGCACGGAAGATGTCGCTTCCCCGCTGGCTTCAGACGTGAAAGAGACGCTAGCTGAGTGTCACAGGTGTCGAAAGCAAAGGTCAATCTCCGGAGAGTTGAGGAGATGCTCGGGATGTAAGATAGTGTATTACTGTTCGGAGGCTTGTCAGAAAAGCGACTGGAAGAGTCATAAGTTAGATTGCAACAGATAGCTAGATTATGATACGCACTTATGTGATACTTCACATTGACTGGATGCGCTTTGAATGTGTATGGCCTGTGATCTCTACAGAGTGTAATTTGACTTGTGCGCGACATAGGGCTGTTGAATGCACACTCATGTCGCTGTCTCATGCTGCATGTGGAGATATAGTGAGAGCGTGAATCAAGGCGTTACCGAGACAAGGCAGCTAACGGCGGAGCGTTCACATACTAGCAAGTAGTGTAGCGGAAACCGCCGGCTCACATGGACTTTAGCAGACGATACAGCGGTCAGTTCGCCGACACAGAGGCTTCGGAACGATGCGGGCGGCTGTGGGAGCGTACTGGAGACGTCGAACGTGGCACTTACTGAGCGGAGAGCAAGGAACGCAGGAACCGACGCCGGCTGATGCTGACCGCATAGCCACAACAGCATCGAAGGCAGATCCTTGGGGTCCAGACTAGAACGCAGAGAGAAGGGTGGTATGTAGGCGATCACGACCTTGAAACTTCGCGACACTAGACCCGACACAGGCAAGATTGAGAGCTAGTGCAACTCAGTGGATGGGTCATTACAGGAGAGCATAACGACCTTGCTCATGGTGAGCTGAGCAGCTGCGAGATGCGCGATGCGACATCCAAGGACGAAAGGCCCTCAACCTCAACGTGCTTCTCCTGCCCCCGCTCTGGCAAGACAACATAGGTCAGTGACACCCTTGATTTTACACCGATGACGACGCACCGAACCGCGCAAATACCCGCGCAGGAGTTCCCTTCGCCTGACGGATGAGTATGGGGAGGTCGGGATTATGTTGCTTCAACGTCGGGTAGTGAGAGGTGATGAATTGCCTACAGATGGTCAGAACAAGCGCGATCAGACATAAGAAATGCATGTCTGACCGTGTTCCTGCTGAAGCAGCGCCTGTCTGACAGCAGAGGATACGGATCTCCCTAACTGCAGGAGACAGAGCCTTGGCGAACGACGACATGGTAGTAAGCAACGACAAGTCGGGCAGTTCGCCGTCTCTCGCGTCGGTCAATAATTGGGGCACTTATCATCACGTAAGTTGAAAGGGGGTAACTCCAATATTGGAGATACTGAAGAAAATTAACCAATAAGTATTTCGTAGGTATCCCCAATTTGGGCCATGTTGTCTGGGAAATTGAGTGTTGTTGAACGCGGCGACCGCGTTGTCGGCGCTTCTCTCTCCCCTTCCACTCTCGTCGCCGACGCCGCGATGGACGACGAGCAACGCCGCCAAGATGACTGGGCCAAGGACCGCAAGAACCGCCTACCCACTTTTACCGAGGTTCTATCCCGCCGTACGCGCCCGCCTGTGGATTTGTTCATGTTCTAGTGAGTTGCCAGGCTACCTGTGACATACACCCCTCCGCCTCATGTCTGTTCAACACCCCCACGATTCTAGTCTCTTCCTCCAGCGTGAAGGCGCAGAAGATATTCTAGACTTTTGGCTCGACGTGCAGCAGCACGAGAACCTCTGCCGCGCCTACTTCAAGGATGTTCGCAAGTCGGGGCGGACCATACGCGAAGACTGGCCCGAGTACTGGGACTACGCGCGGAGGCGAGGGTCAATTTACGGTACAGTTGTCGGACTGAATCCTCACACGGGCACGAAGCGGAGCACAGCGAGCACGGGGGACATGATGTCCGACCAGGATAGGCAGAACCTTGCTGCAGCGGGAGACGAAAAGGCTGCTCGCAGTCCCAGCCCGCGCATGACGTCCGTCTCCCCAGGACAGACTGCTGTCGGGACCGCTGAGCCGCCACGGTCGACAACTCCCTTCTCTCTGTCGGGCCGCACGCCCACGCTGTTCAAGCGTGCCTCGCGTGCGCCGACTATCATCCCTCGTTCGCAGGCGATCACCCGACTGGACCTCATCGCCTCTGCGGAACGCATCTACTACCGCTATCTCTCCCCAGCAGGTGCGGCTCCAGGATCAAACGAGAATCACGAGATCTACCTACCGCCCGCGTTGCGCATTCACTCGTTCCCCCTGAGCAGTAGCCACGAGCCGAAGTCGCAGACGGAGGTAGCGCTCATGGCGCAGATTCCGGACATGTTCCACGCACAGAAGGAGTATTGCTATCGCGCGATGGAGCAGGACGCGTTCCCGCGGTTCTTGAGGGCAAAGGCATTCGGTAACCTGACGCCCGTCTCCTCGCTTGTGCGCCTCATAGCGGGCCTGGTCATCCTCTGGATAGGGCTCGCGGCCGGTTTCTCCCTTATCTTCCTCGACGTCCAGCCTAAGTCCAAGCGTTTCTTTGTGAGCATCCCCTTATCGCTTTTTATTTCAAATTTATCGTCCGTGATCGCTAATTGACACCGCCCTCTCCCCTCCTAGCTGTTCATACCGTACACGCTCGCCATTCTCTTCCTCATCTCGCATCAGTATGAGCTGGACCCCGTGCTCGTCTTTTTTGGCCAGTCCGAGTCCACGCCATTCCGCACACTCCACATCCGTGAGCCGTACGTTAAGAAGCTCCTCCTCGGCCGCGCGATCTGGGTCACCGTCCTCGTCGCCGCCTGTACCGTTGCGCTCACGATGATCTTCTGGGCCGTCCCGGGACACCGACTATGAGTTCGAGAAGAGGACCCAGCTGTGTCGTTGCATGGTGCTATGGGCCGCGTGATGTTGTTTTGTGGCAGCGTTACGACAATCTAATTATGTATTTTTCTGCCGTCCATTTCAACCCTGGACCGTGGCGTGGCGTTTAGGGCAGGCCTATCGTAGGTACAGTACGCCCACTCCTGGCTCATACTCTTCTCGTCTTCGTGTTTTCTTTGCATGATCTGCTTCGTCGTCGCACTTGTTTCCTCCCCAATTACCCGTTCCACCTACCTTATACCCTTCTTCTTAAATCCGCTGTCGCTCCTTTGCCTCGTACCGGTCTTTCCTCCATCGTTCTTCTCACTCTCCCCCTTCCTGCCTCATTTGAGAGGTATCCCACCCTCGTCGTACCCTGACGCTCGCTTGCGGGCCATCCCGACTCACCCTCCACCTGGATCCCTGATGGATATAACCTTGATTTATGACATGAATGGCTGTATGCTAGACGTGATACCCAAGTCCGTCTGTATCCTCGCGCGCTCTGCCTGTCCACATTTGAGATAATATCTGAAGATCAAGTCAATTGGATACATGAGAAGCGGCGTTGTTGAAGATCCCATCGTAACTTGGAAAGGTGGATGCAGCTCTTCTTTTCCACTTCGATCATGACAATGTGTCTGATCTTCCCAAACAGCTTGCTTGAACTGGTATCTTCACGACGTACCCAGCGCGAGCGCTGTACCCTGGAGAGGTGACATCGGCTTCCGCACCCGACTCGGACTTGTCGTCAACGCCGGTGTCATATGACATGAAGGATTCGCGGAGGCGAGTATGTGTCGTCGTAGGCCTGGTTTTTTGCTGCTAACTTGACCCCCACCTGAGCAGGCCGTTAGTATGGATTCGTCTAGCGTACGGGATCAGAGGAAGGTCAGCGCTACTCAAGTACACGCCGTGACTTCGTGGGAGAGAACGACGTACCTACGTCGGACGACTAGCTTGGATTGCGAGCCTTGAAGCGAAACGGCTATGCTCGTATCGTAACCGCTAACCTTGCCGCCCGTCGTATTGCACTCGGCGTTTGCCCGTTAGACCAGATGTGCCTCCGACTTGACGCCGTCTGAGTCTCGTTTGAATCCTCACTTGTCAAACATCCGACAGGTGTCGGCATCAACTTTCGGTCCTTCGATGGCTTCTGCTGTTGACGCACATCTCCCCGGTCCGCTCTCAGTGCCACCTAGATATGCGGTGGATGTGTGAAGCGCGCATACCTGTCCATGGCCATGCATAAAAGCACCTCCAGGAAACATCGGAACCCTTAGCAAGCTCAAACAACATCTTCTAAGCCTCAGTCTTCTCTTTGAGCATCTGCCTCTGCTCTCTCGACGTTCAAACACACTATCCACGATGCCCGACTGGCCTCCCTACCCCTCCGGCCCTTTCACCGGCGAGTTCGTCGTCGGCGGGTTCGGCGGTACGCCCTTCCAAGCCTGCAAGTGGGTCATGAACGAAAGTGCTCTCATCGTCAAAGGGCTCGAAGTGTGGTACAACTCGAACTTCTTGCTCGGCGTCCAGGTCACATTTTCCGACGACTCGCGCACCAGTGTCTTCGGACAGCCGAGCGACTCGCATGCCAGCATTACCTTCGTTCCGGGAGAGCGCATCACCGAGCTGACTCTCTGGGGCAATGGCCAGGGTACGCGCACCGGCCGGATCCGTCTCACTACCAGCGCGGGCCAGGTATAAGCATCGTCTTTTTGAGTTTCACTTAAAACTGACACCCTTCGCCACAGACATTCGACGTTGGCAAGAACACCAGTGGCCAGAAGGCGTACCCTGCTGGACTCGGCTCCGGCATCCTCGTCGGGTTCGTTGGACGCTCTGGCGCTGCCATCGATATGTTGGGGCCCGTCTTCCTTAATGGCTCGGTCCAGTCCATCTCCATCTCCAACGTAGTCTACACCCCTCCCCTTACAGGGAGCAACACCGGCATCTCCCGGCAGGACCTCGACAAAATACACTACTACAACCCGCCCACCGCGAAGAGGAACCTCCCGTGGAAGTTCAACAACGAGGTGAAGCGCACCCAGACGACCACGTTCACCCAGTCGACCACGAGCACCTACGGAGTCACCGTCAGCACCGAGGTTTCCGCTGAGCTCTTCGGAGTTGGCGGTAAAATCGGAGTTGGATATTCGTGGGAGGCCACTAATACGCAGGAGACGAGCACATCGACGTCGTTCGAGAAGACAGTTGGCTGGGAGATTTCGGGCGAGCTCCAGCCGGGCGAGGGCATCACGGCGACCTCGTTCTGCCAGCAGGGCGTGGGCCATGCGAACTACACTGCGACCGTCACGCTCCTCCTTTCGGACGGCACGGTGAGCACGTACCAGGAGCCCGGTCAGTTCAACACGGTCGTGTACACCGAGGCCGAGGTGACTGTCAAGCCGGACAACTAGCTTGGTGCGGCCGGTATCAGCTAGGTCTAGGTGAGTGCCTTCCTTACAACTGTGCTTTGACCAGATACCGACTTGAGACTCTTTAGTGCCTCTTCCGGAAGTATGATCGAAGTATCTGGATTGGATTGGTCTTATGTGGTTGGTCTTATGTTTTCGATTGGAGTTGCAACTCGCGGTCGGCCTAGTAGTAGACTACAAGTACTCACTTAGCAAGCGGTGTACACGTCGGCCTTACTACGTATTGCGGCAATGTATCTGCGAGTCGCTTGCATGCATAGCCATTTCGGACTGCACAAGATTCAGCGTCGATCGGCTCGCGTAGGATTCTGGAGGATGGCGATATCGCCGGCGAGGGGTAGCAGCGGCTAATTAGACTCTCATAGTTCTTTGCCAACTCACAGCACGACCGCATCTGACAGTATGAGACGACTACTGAACATTTGACAAGCCAGTCGCGGTGCGTCAAGGCAGCATTGGGGGCCGAGACACCCGAAGTCGCGTAGCATGGGGTGAAGAATGTGTATTGCTGGCACTACGTATCTCTAAGGCATGAAGTTCGGGTCGTGAGATTAAGAAAGACGTGAAAAAGCAGAGAAGATTGCCTGATATGCAAGCGAACATGTAGTAGATGCATGTGGAAGTCACTACTAGTATGGAATGCTAGTGGATACAGCGATTAGCGTGTCGTCTATGAAGAAAAGCGATTCGAAGTCCGTCGTGGAAGGCATGCAGGCGAGCCACCGAACCCCAAAAGACCTAGGCTGAGACTCGAAGGGTACCGAAGAGAATAACTTATGTACAAGGCGTGACGGAGTCGAAGGGACCTGCGCAAGTCCGGTATCCAGATGCTAGGAGAACGAGACGAAGGCGAGAGACGGAAGGGCACTACGCCTGTTGCGCACCCTTCTCCGTGGCAGCGGCTTCCTCTGCGGCAATCTCCTTCGCAATCGCAAGATCCTGCAAGATAACGCGGGTCAGTGACTTGCTCACTTGGCGAGACGAGAAATAGAAATGGGGGAGACTCACGAGACACGGCGAGAACTTCGACTTCGCCCGCACCCACGTCCCATACTTGTAGAACAGGAACGGGCTGGGGGCAAGGAGCAGCGCACACAGCCCGATGAGCGTGCACGCCCAGTTGATGCCGAGGCCGCGGAACATCTGCACGGTGAAGAGCGGGAACGCCGCGCCCACGCACGAGCGGATGATCGTGTTCGCCGAGAACGCGGACGCGGCGTACTGCAGGTACGTGTCGACGAGATACGCCAGGAACGAGTTGAACACGAGCGACACGGCCGCGCCTATTGGCACCGTGGAGAGCGCGGGCACGATCCAGTGTATACTGGAATACTGGCCGGTCCACCCGAGCCAGAACGCGCCGATGACAAGCATGGGCCCCCCAATCATCGCGCCGTAGAGGCGCTCCTCCGGGGGCGGGAAGCCGCGCCACTTCACCATGAGTGCGGGGTAGTGCTTGGAGAGAGGGATGGTGAGGTAGGCGCCGATGGAGGTGCCGAGGCCGACTCCAATGAAGACGAGGCCGGACTCGCCGATGTTGAAGCCGCGGGTGGTAATGAAGATGACGGGGATGGCTTCGAACACTGCAAATGAGACGTTAGTATAGGATTTCGCCAGTAGAGGTATCGACAAGAGCAACTTACTTGCGTATAGGACGCCATAGACGAGAGACAGGTAGATGGTGACGAGCAGGAGGATCGGCTCGCGGATAAGCATCTGGATCGGACGGTATACAGTACGATGAATGATACCGCGCAGGGACCAGTCCGATCGCTCGTGCTCGGCGTAGACCTTGGCGTTCTGTACGGGGTCGACCTTCCGCAACTTCTGTGCCTTCCACTGGAGGAGGACAGGGGCGTACGTTTCGGGCAGGAAGAGGTAGGCCAGAATGGTACAGGCACCCGCGAAGATCATCATGACCCAAAAGACCCAACGCCACCCGAGGGTACTCATTGTCAAGCTGTTTTAAACACCAACATCAGAAGAAGTCCGTATGGGTGGTTGCGTGCAGGAACACTCACAATCCTCCAGCGATAGGGCCAAGTACGGGACCTACGAACACACCGGCCGAGAAGATCGCCGTAGCGGTACCACGGGTAACGGGATCCCAGATGTCGACAATGACACCTCCGGCGATTGTCAAAGGGGCACATGCGAACACACCGGTAAGGAAGCGGGTGACGAGGATCGTTTGCATATTGTGCGCGAGCGCCTGACCAAGATGGAGAATGACATAGATGGCGAGGCAGAAGCGGAAGATGATTCGACGGCCGTAGAGCTCTGAGCCGGGGCCCCACAAGAGAGGGCCGACGACGTATCCGCAAAGGAAAATCGAGGTGACGAGATAGCCAACCTCGGTACTAACACCAAACTCCCTTGCGATGAAAGATCCTGCAGCTGACGGCGCGGAAGACGCAAATGTCCTGAATAGAACAACCTCCGTCAACTTGCCGTTGAGAGAACAGATGGCAACACGAGGTTTACTCACACGTTCACGGTCATAAGCACACACAAGCAAGTGACCGCCCACTTCTTCCTGTTCGACCAGTTCTGAGGGTTTGCGGGATCGTCGGGACCATCCCAAGCGACCTTGTTCGGATCTGGTGTGGCGACCTGCTCGGGGACAGGGATGGCACCCTGCTCTTTGGATGGGGGCTCCCGAGGATCGTCTCCGCCATACTCCTCTGCGCGGAGCTCGTATTCTTGTCTAAGATCCTCTTCCAGATGGGGATGTATGTGGACAGGATCATGCAACGTGCTCGTTGGCGATGGCTGCGAGGACATCATGATATACACGCGTGAAAGACGGGAAGAACGACGTCTTGCACGGGCGGGCGTAGGGACACGGAGGGAGGGCAAGCGTCGAGGGATGTTGGCATTTCGTCTTTATAGGCCCGGCAAACGGCATCGGGCATCTGTGGGCAAATCATACAAGCGAACTGGTCGCAGCTCTCAGAACCGGCCGATGTTCGAAGATGAGTAAACGCAAATGCGCATCGTCCGCGGACGGCAGAGTTCCGGTAAGAAAGTAGCCGGAGGTGCGTAATCTATCCAGTATCCGGCGGAAGTGACATACAATGTCAGTAAGTCTTTCGATTTCAACGGGAACTAGGTGCTTAGTAATTGTGGCGGTCTAGAAGTTATAGACGGACCTCGCTGATCTTGCGCGTCCGGTTCCGGCTACTTTCCGTGCCGGTGCCTGCATCGTTGGCAATTTGGCCATCTTGGCAGCTCTGTTACCAGAGGTAACCTGCCCAATTAGCTGCAACTTGGAATCAAGCATTCAGCATAGGAATATCGCGGATCGAGAAGGTGCAGGCGTTAGGAAGCAGCGGAAGTCGAGCAAGACGCGGACCGAAGTTGTGCCAATCTGCTTTCCAGATCGTCCGACGTCCGATCGTGACTTCTTTAGACGCCTTTGGCCATATCTGGTAGCGAAGGTAACCGGTCCTCCAAATAGCCGCTCAGGAATTGTGTTCCGTACCGGCGCCTATGCACAAGGGCGGGAAACGCCGTTGGCACTTATGTATCCATACATTAGTCGTTGGTGTCCTGACATGGACAAGCACTGCATGAAGCTTATGAGGTGGGATGCACTGCTGGCATCCAATCTTGTTCGTAAGTGAAGCTTCCGGTCCCCTCACGGCCGGAGTTGCTACGGTCCTGGCCGTCCAAAAGACACCCATTATCGGGCCCAGCTGAGCGAACGACGATGTCTTGTCAAGGCTTGAGGTAAGCTTCCTAATCCCGCTCCTCGTGATCCCTTGATGCAGACTCGTCGCTCAGCGTAAGATCATGAAAGATGATCCCACCGGTACGCTGCGTCGCCACCGGTTTCGATCGAATGCTGTTGGATGACACTTGCGCACGACGGACGAGCGAAGTACAGTGAATGTCTGCGATGCATGGTGACTGCCTCGTTTGTGCCTAGGAGCGACAACTATCAATATGAAGGCTGGTCTGCAAAGGAAAACCATGATCCACCGTCAGGACACACAAATCGTGTGGCTGTCTTAGCCTTGGTATGATTACGTACGAGGCTGAACTCTGATGACGGGGAGCTACCTATCCTATAACATCGAATTCTCATCGGCAGGGAAGTGGCTTCGTAGCATAGAGAGCCGTCGGCGGTGCGCCACAGCGCTGTTTAAGGCTGAGAAGCACTTATCGGGTCGCATGTCAAGTTCGAAGGCAACGTCGGTAACAGCACTAATCTCCGACAACAACTTTCCAATTCAACGACCAGTAGAAGCGGGACCACACACCAAGGCTCCCAAGTAAGTTACCTTCCCCAGCGGGGACCCGACAGATTGTCCACTAGTTGTAGTCGACGAAACCCTGCAGCTTCTTCGCAATCCGGGGTGGGAACCGGAACGCCGCCAGCTTCTCCCCAAACGTCCTCACGATCTGCACGACCCCCTCCTTGATAGCTATACGTCAAAATCAACGCCTAGTCAACATTCGTCCCTCCGACGACCAGTCCACCCCCCCGGAACGCCCAAGGGCGGAGGACCGAGGACAGAGCGAGCAAGCACTCACCGTCAGTGACGACCCCGCACACCTCGCTCGCTCTTGCAGCCTCAAGCGCGAGCAACTCCTTCTCTGCCACGTCCTTCGCCGACAGTTGTTGTAGCTGTTCCAATGGCGGCAGCGCGTACTTAGCGTTCAGCTCCGTGTGGAACTCCTCGAGCGCGGTCAGGAACGAGAGCAGGGCCTCGACGATCTTCGGGATGTCCCGCTGGACAACCCCATAGGCGTCCTCCGTGAGCGACGCGCACGTGAGGCGGCACAGCACTATCCATCAATAGCACGAACCACGGATTGTCGTCAGCCACTATCCATAACCACGTCCGACACGCAAGCTACGCGGAACCGCAGGGCAAAACCAAGATGACGCACCTTCCGCAGCGAGCGCGTCCACATACCGGTTCGGCAGGCTCGTTTCCGCGACCCGGTGCACCCGCTCCCGCGTCCACCACGTCCGCATCTGCGCACCCGCCTCCGCCACGCCCTTCGGCAGGAATCCGACGAGCGTCTTCCCGACGCCCTCGCGCCACACGCCCTTGGTCTCGCTGACGACCCGCGCGACGCTCTCCTCCGCCTTCTTCGCCGTCTCGATCGCCGCGCTAGCAGGTGCCGGCGGGGTCGAGGGCAGCACGGAGCGGAAGAGCTCGGGGAGGTGCGACGCGCCCGCTTCGGCCGTCTCGGACACCGCGGTGGCTAAGGGGCCGTCCGAGGCGAGCATGTCGAGCGAGGCGCGGAGCGGGGAGGTCTGCGCGGTCTTGAAGACTGAGGCGCGGAGGAGCGGCGTGGCGTGTCCCGGCAGGGGGGTGGAGGGTTTGGGTGCCGCGGCAGGCGCAGCGGCGGCTTGGGGTCAGGATATGGTGAGACAGGAATAATGGAGGGACGGAAAGAGAAGATGGGACGTACGTGGGGGCGCCGGCTGGCCTCTGCGGAGGAAAAGCTGGTAGTCGCGTCCGAGCGTGAGCAGGGCCTCGCGGGAGAGCGTTGACCACATGTTCGGGTTGTACTTTTGGTCGGCGAACAGGGCTGAGCGGCGCTGCGCAGCCGCGGGAGAGTCCTCAGTCGTGAACTCGCGCAGCTCGGCGTACGCAAAGTGTTTGAGGTATGGATCCGTGGACGTGATGCCGGACACCAATGTGAGGCCGGGGTCTGCTGTATGCGCGGAAACACTGATCGACTGTACCGTACCATTAGCACGAGTTCTTGGTTGAAGATGGATAGTACGAACCTCCGCTACGATGGAGTCAAACGCGCTCTCCGCAAATTCCCAGATACCGACAGTAGTCAAGGCCAAGTAGAACGCACGGCTCACGAGCGACCAGTGTCGCGTGAGCAGCAGCGGTGTCCATTGTCCTCGCAAGAAATGCGCCGTGAAGGGCTTGAGCAGCCTCGGCACGAACGGCAGCTGGTAGAAAGTAGGCAGCACCACCGACCGTCCAAAGGCAAACACACCCAAGTACAGCACAGTCGCTATGAGGGTATACACAAACGTCGTGAGTGTCACGGTGACGGCGCGCGCGAGACCAAACGACTGGAGTTTCTCCTTGCGGGCCGTCAACGAAGCCCCCCAGCGGACGGCAAAACGGTCTAGCAGTACACAGCGAACAAGACATGCGAGCGCAATGAATGCTTGTGAGAAGAGAAGATAGATCAAGTGCCCATTGAGGTAGTATGGATGTTTCCTGACCGAAGAGTTGGTCAAGCATTTGGTTGGTCGAACATGGCGCATGTACTCACCTTGACTTGACAAATAGAGAAATGCGGGCATGTGGGTCGGCAGTTGCGTCGTATGAAGTCGTAATGAAGAGGTGTAGGGCGGCGAGGGATAGTGAGGACGCTAGGTAGGTCAACAGCGCGTGGACGGTACTTTGCTTCTGAAAGGCGCCAGCCAAAGTCTTGGATGGAGAGGTCGCGGGAGTGGGCGACGCTATACAAGCAATATCTATGAGTATGTCTAGGCGGTGAGCACGCTAGGCATTCCGAGGGTTTCGACCAAGAGAGGCAGGAGGCGACCGTCCGCCGGTTTACCCAGGTGTTCAAGGACTATTGTTCAGACAGGCCACGAGTTCACGACAGCTTACCTCGCGCCTCCCTTATTCATAGAATCTTATTCGGTCGAAAACATCGGGATGCCTGTCGTGCTTAAGAGGACCAGGACTGACCTGCGACATGAGACTTGCGCAGCACAACAATGGGAAGGGCGCCAGTAGCAAAGGTCGCCAGGGTGTATGCCAGCGTCGATGGTCTGATGGGAAGCAGCCAGAAGTCTCGGTCGCCTTCGCTCCATGTTCTCCATGCCGAGACGAGGAGCCAGGAGAGCGCAGCCGAGTGGAGGAAGATTTTGTGCTGTCGGTGGCGCAAGACAGCCTTCACGAGAGGTTCATACAGTTGAGAAGCAGGCGGGATCGTGGGTGCAGTTCGTGACAGGAGAGTAGATGGAATGGCCCGTATGGGCGTGGGAGGGTTTCGTGGGGCCGTCGAGGTGGCCATCGTCGTGGACAGCGAGGAAGACACGAAAGTCGACGGCGAACACAACGCGTCTCGCGCGTCAGAGACATCACGTGGTCAAGTCGCGTCACGAGGCTCGCTCCTCTGCCAGTGCCAGCAACGCCGAGTCGACGTCTTACTTTCCTCCTACATGATGTTCTCAATATTGTGCTTGCTGCTTGACTCTGGAGCATACCATACCGCCTGATCTATACTGCTAGTGCTGTTATGATCTAGTCCAATATGGCTCGCCATCGACGTTTCAGCCTCTGTTGGTTGCCAGCCTCCAAGTAGCTCGCCCACCGCTCTCGACTTCAGCGTCTTACAGGCAGCTAACCCCAGCACAACACCACACCTATCGCACTATGGAGCGCAACATCAAGAAGACCAGGTCAAGCAGCATGCGCCAGTTCTTGCGCGACGTCCTAAAGCCCACTCCAGCATTGTCTACCCTCGGCAAACGCGGGCGGAGCGACGACGAGACCAGCAACAGATCCCGCCCCATTGCTTCCCCCTGTACATCGAACTCTGTCTCCACCACCTCCCCCACTCCCAAGCCTTATTGCATCGCGCTCCAGAACGAGGACACAGCCGAGGACGCCATCGTCATCACCGCCCTCAACGTCGCCCCGTTCTGCTGCCACGCCGACCTCATGACTATGACTCGTCCTGAGCTGCTGCAGGTCGCATCTATCTTGAATGCCAAGCTTCCTCGCGCCCTGCACATCGACGTCAGCCCTTCTTGCTCGGACGTGGCCATCAGGTACGCGATCGAGCTGCTCGTCGGACTCCGCGACAAGCCTCCCCACCAGCCCGCCCCGCCCACGACCATGTTCACCATGGTCTACAACACCTTCCGCAACACGCCGACGATCAAGCGCGAGCCACCCTCGCCAGGAGCACAAGCACAGTCCCCGCTCACGCGCCGCAGCCGCCCGAGCATGTCCTTCAGGTCGCCTACCCTGCCCATAGTCCGCGAGGACTCCCGCGAGCGCGAAGACTCGCCCAAGCCCCCGCAGAAGAAACGCCGCACCGACGCCCCCATCACGCGCGCCCTCTCGTACCGCATCGCGCCCTTTCTCGCCAGCGAGCCGCACGACAGCCCGAGCCCCCGCATGCGCGGCAGCATCCCGCTCGCGCGCACGCTCACCCTGGACGGTACGGCGGACCGCGCCGCCTCCGCGAAGAAGAGCCCGAAGAAGCCGAGGGGTGGGTCGCGGTACGCGCGTGCGCGGAGCCTACACGCAAACATGACCTCGACGCCGAAGCGCGGCCGGTCGGAGGCGGCGGTCAACTCTCCCGCGGCCGCGCAGGCATTCAGGTCGCTCCTTGGGGACATGCAGAACACCGTGGGGCATGCGGGAGGCGCGAAGTCTCAGACGGAGAAGACGCACCAGGGGAACGGCTGGGAAGCGAAGGGGACGAAGGGCCGTGCCTCTGGCCGCACGACGGCGCCGCGGGAGGACAGCACGCTGGCGAGCGTGAAGGCGGAGGAGCTGGAGGTTACGTTCGGGATCGACGGGATGACGATGCCGATTGCGAGTGCGTATGGGGAGGCGTCCGATATGTCAATCAGCTACGGATTTTAGTGTCATATGCAGGCAAGTGCTCTTGAACAATCCGCTCTCGTACCATTATGTTCTGCTTGACACCCTCGCACTGCGGTCCTTTGTGTATACGCATTCTACCACCCAATCCAGAAGCCATTCCACGCTCGCACCAGTGCGTCCGCATGATCGTGATATGTCCATTCATTGTAGTACAAGCGTGCAATTTACATTGGTATATTCTTCCACTTCTATCCGACCCTTCAGAGCGCAGCGAGGACAGCGTCAACGCCCGAGACAGTAACCTGGGTCGGGTCAGGCTCGACCTGCACAAGCGCCACTGTAAGCCTCCCGCCCATCCCTGTCCATAGGAAGCAAATCGCACTCACCCCAGCGTAGGTGACCTTCAAGTCGTCGATGACGAGCGCGAACCGCGTCGTGCGCTTGCCCAGCCCGATGCCCAGGCCGGAGAGGTCGACCGTGAGGCCGAGCTTCTCGGACCACGCCCCGTTGGGGTCCGAGAGCGCGAGGATGGCGTCTTTGAAGCCGAGGATGCGGCTCCAGCCCGAGAGCACGAACGGGTCGTTCGCGGAGACGACCGCGACAACGTCGACGCCCTTCGCTTTGAGCTCGGGGACCTTCGCGAGGTAGGGCGGGGCGTGGTTCGCGTGGCATGAGGGCTACGTGGTGTGGGAAAGGGAATGTTAGTTTGTGGGGTGCGAGGGAGGGGAGAGGTACGTACGGTGAACGCTCCTGGGACGGAGAAGAGGACGACCTTCTTGCCCTTCCATGCATCGGTGGAGAGCTTGGTGGCTGTGGATACATGGTGAGCATCACCCTGAAGCTTTTGGAAGAATATCAGGCTACGCACGGATACCGCACGCGTTGTGGTCCTCGAGCTCAGGCGAGAAGGGGACATGCACGAAGGTGCCCTCGGGGATCACGTCACCAACCTTGACAGAGGCCATGTTTCAGGTGTAAGGGATGAGAGAGAGGATCGACGAAAGGATATAGATCGATGAATGGGGGGAGAGAGTGCGGCAACATCACCGTCGCGGGCTGCCCTTTATATACAGCGTCGTGCGGGCGAATGTTCGAGTCGTCCTGCCGGCGACAGTATTCGCCCGTAGCTGTGGTCCATTTGGAGCTTTGCAATTCGTCGATGGAGTAAGATGTGCGTTATCGCATTATGCGTACAATGAAACAACTGGAGTTGGTAGGGCCGGTATTGTGTAGGATCTACGAATCCAAGTGCTTTCCCATGGCCTTCTGCGCCCGACCGCAGAAGCATCCGGTACTGGTACTATAGGTGGTAGCTGCATCGGAGGTGACGCCACAATCCGACGCTCATCCACGTTACCGGAAGATGGGTTGCGGTCCAGATGTACAGGTTGCGAAGTGATGACGAGCGAGGTTTGTGACAAATATTCGACTTTCGAGTCCCGTGCTTCGTATGTTTCTGACTGTTGGAGGTGCGTGACTGGAAGAAGCAATTGTATCTCAGCGAATCCTGCTCAACGAGAGGCTAGATCACCGCTCCGTGATCGAATACCATCTTCGCCCCTTTGGCAGATTCAATACACACATTCGCAATACGTTCTCCCTCTCCGGTCCCACGTGCTTCCTGGCAAGTCACGTTCTGTGTGTGTCAGACACACGCGATGAGTAGGCCGAGTGGGACGACGTTGGAGTTTCCCTCTTCTTCTGCTCTTATCTGCGTGATATCAGGTTGCGAAAGCGCACCGTGCGATGACGCGCTCGTCGTGTGTAGCATCAGAAAGAACACCAAGACTCGGTGGTGCATGACCTTCTCCATCTTCTATTGTTTGACTGCAATATACATGAACTCGTACATTCACTACTTATAACTTGGGCGTCGATTCAGACTCGGAACTGCCTTGTAGTCAGAGAGCAGCGAGGACGGCGTCTGCGCCGGACACGGAGACAGCACGCTCCGTCTCGACCTGTCAGATAGACACGGTATCAGCTGTGGGATGTCGCGTGCTAGATGTGATGTTGGAGACGTACCCCGACGTAGGTGACCTTGAGGTCGTCGATGACAAGAGCGTAGCGCTTTGTGCGGGTTCCAAAGTCGACTGCAGACAGATCCTGGGAGAGACCGAGCTGCGAAGACCACTTCGCGTTCGGGTCGGAAAGCGCAAGGACCTGTCAGATAGCAATACGGGTCAGCAATCTGGCCATGAAGCTCGAAGGCTCTTCAACGGTGGATACGAGCGCCTATGAGGCATGCCCTCCTTCCAGTGCAACACGCCATATCCCTTACACGGCACACACCGTCCACAACAACCCTTCATCGAGAGGTGAAGTAGCGAATGCGTACCTTATCCTTCAACCCGAGGAAGCGCGCCCATCCGCTCTGGACAAACGCGTCGTTGGCAGCGACGACCGCGATGACGTCGACGCCCTTCGCCTTGAACTCGTCGTACTTCTCGACGAACGGCGGGAGGTGGTTTACGTGGCACGTCGGCTATATTCCGCGCACGTATTGACTGATCAGCGGCCCGTCGCGTAAATTGATTATTGGGGAAGAGGAGACGCACCGTGAACGCGCCGGGGACGGCGACGAGGACGACCTTCTTGCCCTTCCACTCGTCCGTGCTCAGCTTGACGGCTGCCGACGCCCATCGTTCGCCATTGGGCATTCCACAATGCAGACCCGAGTTCCATATTGGGCGATTCGAAGGGACAGACGATATATGGGTGCGAATGCGGGGTGTAGACGTCAGGTCGGGACGATCGGGCAAATCGGGCAAGGAAGAACAGGAGGGTACGTACGGACACCGCAAGCGGAGTGGTCCTCGAGCTCAGGGCTCCAAGGGATGTAGGTGAACGTGCCCTGGGGGATGGTGTCGCCGACCTTGATAGTAGCCATTGCGTTCGCGTTCGTTGCGTAAGTCTTTCGACTAAGCCTATTACTGTCGAGGTACAGACGATGGTGGACGATGAGATACAGCGGGCAGAGCAGACAGGGGCAGCACTCTTACTTATATCCAAAGCCTGCGCTACCCGTGGACGATGGCGAGCTCGAGCAGTTTCGGCTCGTCACATGACGTGGGGAGGAAGTATGAGTGGTTAGTAACCGCGTTCCCTGACCAGCTCCGGTCGGGAACCCCTTCGGCCGGGCGTGCGTGGCAGCCCTGAGGACGTTGGATTTCGCAGCGATATGGCCGAGCATGGTCTCGAGGCTGCTCTAGACAGGAGCAAGTCGCAGGCAAGGTACACGTTAATAAGCGCCCATGGCAGGCGAGGTGTTCAGTCTTAACATGTTGTCGGCTATCTCGTGTACTCAAATTTCCCAGGATGCAGTATTGTCGCTGGACGATGAATGCAAAGCCTACCATAATTGGCGCGGACTGTACTAGGCAGTACAGGAAACAATCGGACACGTGCAATATGGTGAAATGAGGGCGTACGACGTCACCTCTGGTAAGCAAGTGAGCGGGCTGAACAATATACCGACGTGTGGTTTGATGCGCGCACGATGTCTTGCGTCGTGTTCTGTTGCGCTTATGAAGACAAGTACTTATATGCTCTGAGGGGACCGGCGAGGTGCACGTGGACAGCGGGGACCCAAGGAGAAGTCAGCCATCCTTGTTATGAATCTGGCTTACTATGGCTGTGCAGCCGCCATGACGCAGGGTAAAGTGCTGAGCCAAGCGTCCGTGAAGAAGGTACCTATCTCATTATGTGGGATACTACAACGGATCGTACATTGTCATTACCTTCCATCACCTCTTCGGAGGTATCATGCGATAGTGCACCCTTCAGGTAGCTTTGGGAGTCCGTCCGTCCCAAGCTCGAATCCTGGCGGCAGAGGGCCCATGATCTCTGATGGCGGTGAACCGTGATCTTGCATCTAATGTTCGAGCGAGGGAGCTATAAGGGATCGTGACTGAAGAGGCTAGGCCGCAGAAACATACCTCCTGCATCAACTCGACCACTTTGACGCCACTTTGCGGATCGTCTTCAGAGTAGCTTGGGTCCTCGAAGATAGTGACTATTTGCGCTACGATCTTGAACTGCGTCTGATACCGCGTCTTGTCCTCCGCGCTGAGTGTCGCGTCGTGTTCCTTGAGGTACCCGGGGAACTGTGGCGCGTCCATAGGCTATGGACATGTAGTAAGGGTTGGGCCATAGGATGTGCGTACCTTCTCATGCAACTCCTTCAGCGGCTCATACAACACGTCTTTGCTCATGAGCGACGACATCATCGTCTCGAGCATACCCTTCATCTCCTCCTCGGAATCCTGCGAGGTCATATTTGCCAACCGAGCGAACATATCTTCAAGCCCGCCAGCACCCGTCGCGGAAGCCTCATCTGCCTGCGCGCCCATAAGGAACGGTCGCGTGCGTCACAAGGAAGTCCATCAATTCACCTTCTGGTTGCTCTCCTTCAGCTTGTGCATCGCCCGCTCGATATTCTCCTGGAACGACTGCGGCGGACCAGCGTTCGCCCCCACGGGCTTCGCTGGACCCTCCGCCTCCTTGCCCTTGCCGCCACTCTTGAGCGCGGCGACCTCCTCCGGGCTAAACTGCTCGTTCAGGCTGTCGATGAGCATGGCCTCCCACGCCTTCTGGAACACCTTTTGCCGCTCCTCGGCCGTCATCGGGCTGTCGTCTTCGGGCGCGTCCTCCGGGTGGGGGACGTCGTCGAGCCCCGCGCCCTGTGCGACGTCCCGGAAGAGGGACTCCATGCCTTTCATGAGCTCGCGCGCGAAGTCGTCGTCGAGCCCGTCCATCCCGAGCGGGTCTGTGGGTTTTGGCTGGGGCTGTGTCGATGGGGGCGCTGCAGCATCCTTGGAAGATGCGGGAGGTGGAGACTTGGACGATGACGAAGGTGCTGTGGCGGGCTGAGCGGCAGGCTTCGGTGGCGCGCTGAATTGCTCAAGGACGTCTGGGTCGCGTGCGGATTGTTAGTTGGGGTTACGCGCACTAGGTTGGCGAGTACGTACCGTCCAAGTCGTCCAGGTCGTCTTCCTCCACGGTGACCTTGCGAGGAGGTGGTGCAACCATGATCGTACGGTCTGTTACAGAAAGCTCGCCTCAAATATCCTGGATCACTGCTGTACGGCTCCGGTTCGGAACGCGATCGAAATAACCGGTGCGCTTCAGATGCCCTGGTTCTTCCAGACAGCGAGTTTCTTGTATATGAGCACGCCTGTGTAGATGTGCAAGGAGTGACACTCGCGGCAAGCAAACAGCGGGTAGCAAAGTGGAGAAGGAAACAAGAGTTCCTGTTGCCCCGGACTCTGCGGGAATCCCAGTCAGATCAAGATCTGTAGAATCACGCGCGCTGTTCTCTGCTTCGGGTATGGCCGCGGGCGCCTCTCGAACAACGCTACGCCATTTGGGCGCTCACAGACCGAAGTGCGAACTTGGACTCCTCGGTGCCGTCATCGCCTGCGCAGGTCCTGAGCGCAGCAGCCACTTCGACGGACTCGACCTGCGCGCCGGCGTCGACGACCCTTGTCTCTGCACCCGCTGGCTATTGCGTCGATACCCTAGGGCTCGCTCAGCATGAAGAATACGGCCACTGTATCCACCACGATGTTCCCTAAGTTAGGACACGGCTCTGGTTCAGCTCTCCCGCTCCCTATCTTGCTTGTCGCAGGGGTCTGCACTGGTATCGCGACCTTCGTATCCGTCATTTCCATTGTACTGCACCTCAAGAACTACAGGAAACCGCATCTCCAACGGTACGTCTCCTCAGCCCGCCCTTATCGGACTTGCGCTAAGCAAAGGCCGGAACCACAGCCAAGTCGTACGGATCATGCTCATGGTTCCCCTGTACGCCATCGCTTCCTTCATATCATTATTCTCGCTCCAAGCTGCGTTCTTTATCGATGCTGTACGAGACATATACGAGGTGCGCCCTGCCTCTTTATCCTGCGAATGGTCCTTATTCAACGTCTAGCCGCCCAATATAGGCGTTCGTCATCTACTGTTTCTTCGACCTCCTGATTGCCTATCTCGGAGGCGAGCGGTCCCTGCTCATCCTATTGCACGGTCGGCCGCCGAAGTACCCCGTGTTCCCCGGCAATTTGGTTTGGAGGGAGGTCGACGTTAGCGACCCTCATACGTTCTTATTCCTCAAACGAGGAGTCATCCGTGAGTACATTCAGATTCGAGTATGTCCGTCTCAAGAGAGAGTGCTGCGCTTTCGGTCTATTCTTCGTCTTCGCTGTAGTGCTGAAGCAAAGGCACGGCTAGCCCCAGAGCGACGACACAGCTGGTTTAAGAGCGATGGCAATCGGAGTCACTCGCGCCAGGCTCAGTAGGGCTTCATAGTGCATGATTGATATCACTCAAACTAGGGAGACATAGGTCTCATCCGCAATGCGAATTCTATCTCTGGTGGTCATCTCTGTGCTGCGCATGCCGACAAGGAGACGTAGCAGTGTCCCAATGGCTTTCCAAGTCATTCTTTCCGCCCTCCTTCGCACGCCAGGTGCCCACGGTATCGGATCGCTTCCATGAAGTGACCGATAGTAGCCCATTGGTGTGTCGCTTGTGAGATGCCCCATCGCCAGGCATACTCAGCTTGTACACGTCCAGTCGATGGCTCATTGAACTGACACATCACGCTCGTAGAATATGTACAGCTCAAACCGCTACTCGCCATTGCCACCATCGTCCTCAAGGCATTAGGCAAATATAATGAAGGCGATCTCGCCGCCGGCTCAGGGTACCTCTACATCAGTATCGTATACAACTTCAGCATATGTTTGGCGCTCTACTGTCTCGCAATATTCTGGATGTGCGTCAACGACGACCTCAAGCCATTCCGGTGCGCCCCGGTTCTTTATCGCGCTTGAATCGACTCACTCACGTGTAGATAACAGCCCCATGCCGAAGTTTCTCTGCGTCAAGGGCATCCTTTTCTTCTCCTTCTGGCAGTCCATCTTCATCTCCATCCTCGTCGCCGGTGGGGCGATCAAGAAGCTCGGCCCATACACCGACTCGGAGCACATTTCCCTCGGCCTCACCGATACCCTCATTTGCTTCGAGATGCCGCTCTTTGCGATCGCACACATGTACGCCTTTGCCACGCGCGACTACGTCGACCCGCACGCGTCGTACGTCGCACGCCTCCCCGTCTTCTACGCGTTCAAGGACGCGTTCGGGCTTAAGGACGTCGTCGAGGACGTCAAGACGACGCTCCGCGGCGAGGGCATGGACTACCGGGAGTTCGAGCCGAGCGAAGGCCACATCCACCAGGGCGCAGGGCGCGACCGGCGCATCCGCGCGGGGCTCCGGTATAGCCAGGGCGGCAAGCGCAAGTACTGGCTGCCCCAGCCGGCGACGTCCGCGGTGCGCCCGGGGCCGCGGATCCCCGCGAACAATGGGGACAGCTTCGATGAGGTGCACGCGCCGCTGCTTCCTGACCAGGAGGCAGAGGTTGTACATACTGCGGCAGGTCTGCGCTCGCCGGACGAAGGTTTCTCGTTGTTCGCGAGCAGCGGTCTTGCGGACGAGGGGTATGGGCTGCCGTTTGATGATGTGGACGAGGCGGACGAGGAGCTGTTCGAGCATAGCAAGAAGTACTTGTTTGGCGACTACAACTACCCTTGCGTCGACGTCAGCTCGGAGAGGGCACGGAAGACGATGTGGATCGAGGAGGAGAGGATCCTGCGAGACGAGCATTCGGCGTGGTACTCGCCCTTGAGCGGGCCTCGAAGACATCCCGGAGGGTATGGTGCCACTGGGAACACCGAACAGCTACACCCGGATAACGGGAAGGGAAAGATTCGCGGATCTGGTCCTGAGATCATCATCGACAAGGAGACCGAGCGACTGTCTCCTCCACCAGGCCATGGCGAGGTGCAGCTCCGGTGGACAAGCGCGAAGGCAACGCCCGTACACTCTCCCCCAGCACTTCAGTCACCTGTACAGAGGGCACCAGGAGCGCTGTCGCGGACGAGCTCCGCTTCGCCACACACTCCTGTATCCTCATCTTCCAAGGGCAGCCCGAGGAACCTCCCTCCTCCCTCACCTCGCTCTGACTCCGAACGGCCAGTTTTGCCACCTGACGCGGTCGACCTCGTCGTCGAGGACCCGCACGCGGCCGAGGAAGAGATGACGCACGAGAGGCGAAAGGGCGAGCCTGCGGTACGAGGTGGTGGGGCGCTCCATCGAGTGTACCGCCGCGGGTACGTCGTCGAGGAGGACGGTCGGCGGGAGGAGGGCGAGGTCCAGGTGGACCCTGCCTCGGCTCCGTTCCCATGGCGGGGCCACGGCGTCTTCGACGTCGGGGAAGAGGAGGAGGACCCGGAGGAGGTGCTGGAGGCGGAGCAACGCGTGGCAGAGGCGACGGCGAGGACGGTCGTGAGGGCGGAGACGCCGCCGTCGCATGTGCATGTTGTTGTTGATGTCCCGGAGGATAACCCGTGGGCGTAGAGCGGGGCGGGCATACGCACGTAATTTATGCTGTGGGATCTTCAGACGTGTATCATAGGTGTACATAATGTTTGTCCGAGAGGTCTGTATCGGCAACGCGATTCTTTTCTTATGTGTCGCTGCAGCCCGGCGGCTGTGGATTGCTTCAGGGAAGACGTCAAGGTGAACTCCTCTCGGTGAGTACATTGGTCGTTTAATGGGAATGCGGGCATTGACGGATTGCGTAGTTTGCAGTACGTAGGTGTCCAACGATGTAGATCTGGCTCGGACTTTATTGTCCTTTATGCTGGCCACCAAAATATTCAAGTTGAGCCTTTTTTCTCCTGTTTCTGCGATGATTTGTCTCCGGGAGAAACAGAATAGCACAGCACCATCTCCATACCCAGATGGGACTATAATACGCGAGTGCCACAACGGTAAGCCAGTAGCTTTGCCCTCACATCCTGTACCCAGCTGAAGTCTATTGATCTCTCCTCAGTAACTATTGTAGAACTGCCCGATTGGCTACATTTTGTGGAGACCGGTACCTGGGAGGATATCAACTGGGAATGTCTCGTATATCGAAGAGTTCAGGACTTCAACTCCAACCTATCGACAATATGTGAGCATTCTGTTTATCGAGGACGCTAGGCGAGTATTCTTTTGCATCGTGTGATGACTATCGACGATGTTTTCGAGGCATACGCCGGTGAACTGAATTCGCACCTCGATTTGAATCATATTGGTCTGAACATCACTGTGCAGAGACATTCCGCGATCATGGTCCCATCCCATATGCAGTGACGGCTTGGTTAGCCCATTCCTCTGTAAATTCGATTGTAAGGTGTGACTTGTTCGATGCCATTGATACATGCGACTTCCCAGATCGACCAAATGCAGACTATACACTTGGCCGGTGTTACACATCGCGACGTGCATCCAGGCAGCATCGGTTTGACAAACATGTCCGATGGCATTGGTGACCTGGTTGTTGACGACGAGCATTTGGGAGGCATTTTTAAGCCTGTCTTCATCGACTACGAGTGGGCCTGCATCGAAGGCTTCAACCCAGATGTGCGGAATCTGGAGATAGCCCGTATGTGGTGGTATGCCTCCGATCATGTCGTCCTCAATGAGGGTGCGTACTGTGCAGCGGTGTGCGCATGTTGCATTATCATATGACTCACTTTGTTCCCATAGTTAAGTATTTCCCTGCAGATGATTCAAAGGCCCTCGCATACAGTCTCCTTGCCTCCAGGCTCATGGCGCCACCTCCCTGATTTGCGGAGGTTCTAGAGCAAGTTATTGAATGGGAAAACAACTGGTACTGTGATGCCGATGAAAGACGTGCGACCACTGTCGAGATTAGGAGACGCTGGCTAGACGTTCTGCGTACCCGAGAGTCCGAACTCGAAGGCCCAGTGGTGGAGTCGTCCTTATGTGACTTCATCGAGTATACCAGGTCGCTGCAGCGGGGGAAAACGATTTCGTACAAGGATTACGAGAGATGGATCGCAATATTCAAGGATGAGTCGAAGAAGGAGGGGATTTTGAAGTAGCCGCGAGCATGGGGCCTCATAGTTCTGGAATATAACATGTACCGCTATACTTAGGCGCAGTCTGTACATAGCCGCCGCAGATCATTCACCATCATTCGAGTTTAGTACGCACCACAAATCACCCACTAGTATCATGTAGCATTAGTGGTTTCACAAAGGACCTTGATCCCTCTCGACCTACGCCCATCGAAAACAATCACATGCTTGTTGATTACAAAGCGCCAGGGCCTGCCTGCAAGCATTTGAACATGCGCTCTGGCTTGTCCTCATGCATCGAGCCATGCTTCGTGTACTCTCCTATTCCCACATAGCCGTCCCATGTATTTGCCACGACTCCTAGGTCATCGCCTCATCCCTCGAGTCTGCTCTCAGATAATGCGCTTTTATACACGCGAACCTACAAGTACAGTCACAGCCGCGATCTCTCAAGCTGTTTTCCGTTTTGCATCCCCGAGGCCCACCGCATCAAACATGCTATGAACTCATCCAACTCTGCCTCAGTATTGCCAGCGTGAATGGTGACCCGGATGCGTTCCTGTCCTCGTGGGACTGCTGGAAACCCGATCGCGGTTACCGCATATCCGTAGGCACCTAGGAAGTCCGCTAGCGAAGTGTACGCAGGCGTGAGGATGGGGAAGATGGGGCTGACGACGGTTTTGCGATAGTACGAGGGAATCTCATGGTCGTCGAGTCTGAGCAACTTCGGAGAAACGCTCTGTAGTGCCCTGGCCAGACAATCCGAAAAGTACGAGCATAGTTGTCGGACACGCTCGCGGCGCTGCGGCGCACCGATCAGCATTGTGCCGTTACTAGAATCTTATGTATATGCCTACCTCCGTGCCAGCGGTACTCGCTACGTACTCAAGAACCGTGTTGAGGCCGCAGATGTGAGAGTATGGCAAAGCCGTGGAAAACATTACGGGCTTGCCCCGCATAATCAGGTATCTCCGGATGAGTGGCGAGGTCATAATCACACCTGAAAGAACCAAGGGAGGTCAATGCAACCATCACAGAAGACATGACGAGCTGCCTACCTCCGCTCATACCCCAGGCTTTGCTGAACGTGTGTAGCACGGTATCGACACGCGTCTCTAGTCCAAGCTCGAAGAGGAGGCCACGCCCATCAGGGCCGAAGAGTCCCGTCGTGTGCGCCTCGTCCACCATCAGATGAGCGCATCCCGCCGGAATGAGCTCGTCGGCGGTCTCAAATATTTCGCGCAACCGAGCAAAGTCACCGTCCATACTGTACAGCGTCTCTACGGCAACGAAGAGCGTCCCCTTTCCCTCCGCTATGTTCGGATGCTTCTTGAGCGCCTCGCCGACGCGTTCCTTGAACGCCACAACGGAATTGTGCTCGAACGGGTAGAGGGCGCCTGTGGAGCCCGCTCGCGACTGCAACATCCCATCTTTCATGGAGACGTGAACGAGACTATCAAAGACGATGGCGTCGCCCTTCTGCGGCACAGTCGACCAGAACACGCGGTTGGCGTCGTATCCGGAGTTGAAGAGAAGCGCATCGCACGCTTGGCATCCTGGGCCTCCGAATAAGTTTCTGAGCCGCTCTTCTATGTACGTGTACGCATCGGTGTTTCCTGTGCCGAGACGGGAGCCACCGCTGCCGAGGATGCGGGGGCTGGATGCGAGATTGCGGAGAAAGGCGTCGCGTACGAATGGCGAGGCTGTAACGGAGAGGTAGTCGCTGGAGAAGAAATCGGGTGCAGCGGTGGAAACGGGCCGAAGTAGGTCCGAGATGGGCATCGTTGTGTTTTTGCGCCTTTCTAGCTCTGTTTTCAACGTGAGATCCAGTGTGGTGGTCATCGCGGCGATGGTCGAAGCGCGAAGAGACTGTGAAGCACTTGGGGGGTGCGTGAGGAAAGGGCCAGTTTGTCAATATATATGTTGTGAGGCGGTAATCATTTATCAGTAGCATACAAATACAACCTGCGCAGTTTGGCCCGTGTGCTTTTCTAAGAGCATTGTTGCGACGTCGGGGCGCCAAGGCTTATCGTAAGTCTTGCAAATAGTATGCCGGAACAAGGAACCGTTGCAGTTTGGAAGCATCAGAACCCTTCAGAGATGTGAACAGCGCGTGGCCAGGCTGTCGGGAGCGCGACATCCTCGATTAGACAGGCCTGGAAGAAACATATTGCCGTAAGCAGTGGGAAGACGGGAGCAGTACCAAGGGTCAGAGCTCGCCCGCAAAGATGGTCCAGCAGCGTCATCGGCGAATGATGAGCTGGATGATCGGAAATGGCGGAGAAGGTACCTTGACCCAATTATTATCCAACATAGATCAGCGCTACGCATTACGACGTCGACGAGGGCCACAATGGCACTTGCAGAGCGCTGTCCCACGAAATGCGCTCAGCGCTGTCATCGTGGGGTCTCGCCGGACCAAGTCGATGTCGAGATTATTGCATGTACAGATAGCTTGCATCTTCTCACTGGCACATAGATTGGCCTCGTTCATGATGGCTTATGAGCTCACGTGTGCTTCTGCTTTCTGGTTTTCCGCAACAAATACAAGATTCAGTCGCCGGTTGTTTATGCACCGTTCGTCGTACGGAGCCAGTGGTATATGAGCACAGCTAAGCGCACCTAGTTGTGATAAGGTTGTGTACGTGACGATGATACGAAAGCCTGACCTGAGCGAGCGTGCAGACAAGGCCCAGGATTCCGGACGACTTCTCCGAGTCGCAGCTTAAGTCGCCTGCTTGAGCTGAGCCAACCGGGATCCCGAGGGCCGAAGCGTATTGGTGATGTTTTGAGTAAATCAGCGTCGTTTCTGCTTGGCTGATGGCTTCCGAGGTGAAAGAAGGAGGGCAGAATGTATAGTGGTAGGTAGTCAGGAACTACTAGACTAGTATACAGTCGTTTGCATATCAAACTGCAGTGTCGTGCGCGCGTCGAGCTTGTTTGTTCGTGTTTGCTCCGCCGTCGGGTACCGGGTAGGACTGCCACTTCGGTGGGTGCACCCTCAATGAAAACAGATAAAATCCCTCAAAAATGTCGTAGCAGGTTAATAGTACATACAATATGGCCCCTAGCAATGCCTTGTTGGCTTTCAATGCAGGAGAAGATTTTTGTACTTGATGGCCACAATGGGTTGACGGAGGCCGGTCCCAAACAGGCAGAGAGGCGCTCGCTCACGGCGTTGCAAACACGGGCAAACAGCCCCGCGGCGCGCGCGTCGACTGCAATTTGATATGCAAACGACTGTAATGCCGCTAGTCTCGTGACCAGACGTTCGGAGCTTTGAGCGGAAATGAAAAAACCGGGACTTTCCGCGCTCCTGAACGTCTGGTGGATCCACCCCCGTGACTCCCCGCTCGGTGACCTGTGTGACATACCGACGCCCCGTTAAGGTAATCCGACAAAGTCGGAGGGCGCCCTTGCGGCTGCACGCTGTCCTAGTTACAAGCTTGCATACCTCCTGTACTGCGCACAATGGCTTGAGCTCTCGGTCAACAATCTCCTCCACGCACTCCAGGGCAAACTCCTCGAGAGCCTTCCTAGCGCCCTGGGGCCGTACATGATGGTGTCGTGAGGAGGATGCGCGAGGGACCTTGTACCAGCGCTCGAGAATGCGGGGAAGCTCCTCGCTGCCCATAAGAGCGCTCCGCTCATACTGGACCTTAGGGTCTGAGATGCATGGGGAAATTCATATCTACGGACTCCATAAAAGCCAAAATTGACTTAACGTGGTCGACAACGCTGGTGCGCGTGCGGGAAACCGAGAACGCAAGGCGCTTGCGCATGACCCGGGTGTTGTGGCGGTATATTGGCGTCTCGGGGGCAGCTTCGATTGGATCCCAGTCGGACGCGTCGGAAAGCCGGTCGCTGCTGCACTCGGACGGAGCGTAGTCTTTGTCCTCCTCCTCGTCTTTGAAAAGAGCTCCCCATCCATTGTGGAGCTCATCGGGTTCTGCCTCGGGTCCGCGAGGGTCCATAGGCGCGCACTAGAAGAGTTCCTCTGTCTGCCCATACGAGAGACAGAGGATAACAGACGAATTGAGTATGGGGGACATATAGCAACTGCTCGCGAGAGTCAGAGAGATGTACCGGTTACGGGAGTATCTACGTCGAGCAGACGGTAGGCTCGGCGCAGCTCAAAGACGTCGCGAGATAAGCAGGCAGGCGCGCGCGACAAGACAGCTCGGACACGTCGGGAGAGAGGCAGGAAAGTCACACAGGTCACCGAGCGGGGAGTCACGGGGGTGGATCCACCAGACGTTCAGGAGCGCGGAAAGTCCCGGTTTTTCCATTTCCGCTCAAAGCTCCGAACG